AACATATCCTGGCCTCCAATATTTTTTCCAGTCCTGGGACCCAGAACCTTACACATGCTAGACAAGTGCTCTGCCCCTGTGTCACATGTATAGCCTGCCCTCAACTTTCTTAACATGCTGATGCAGCTTGTATGAATGGAGAGAAGGTTAGTATTCCCCTTCGACAAGGATGGGAAAGGCTCTTGGGCCTGAGAACACACGTAGAGTTAACATGCTTTGAGGTTAGACATTGGCCCCAAAGTATTTCTCAAAATTTATTCTCTCCATTCATCAATATTTCTTTCTGCATTATAATGAGTTTCCCCCCACTGCTTTAACAGTCACCAAGGGTTAATTGCTAATTTTTTTTTTTTTTTTGGACCAGGGATCGAACTCATGACCTTGCACTTGCCAGAAGGTGCTTATGCCACTGAGCTAAATCCTGGGCTCCAATTGCTTCTACATCTCCTTACCTGATCATTGAGCTTCAAGGCTGAACCTTAAAGCTGCAAAGCATCAGAACACATAAATTCCAAATAGAAAACCCTAGAGAGCAGAAATTTTCAAAACATTATCTCTCCTGGCAAGCACAAGGTCTTAGGTTCAATTCCTGGTACCACAAAAACAAAAAAGAGAGAAGAAAAAACTTATTCCTTATTTTATTTGGGTTTATATGTTATTGACTTTTTAAAACTTGAATATAATTTGATGTTCAAATACTCATGTCTGTCAAGATTCCAATTCTAAAAGCAAAATATACTTGAACTGGAGTGATATCAACTAAACATATAATAACTAAGGAAAAACTACATTTGTTCTGAGCTTATTTGATACTTTGGTGTGCTGTCAAACATTAATGTAATAAAGGAAACAATGACCTCTGTATTTGGGAACCCAAGAGACAGAGTAAGCAGTTGTTCATTAACTGAAAGACTATAAGAAGAGTTTCTTTGACAGAGACAGGGTTTGACTTTAGAGATGAGAAATTCAACTTACTAGGGATAAATAAATCAAGTATGTCTGGAGATTTCTTAGAACATAAAGAGTGTTAAGCTGGAGAATAACACTACAAACTCTGTGAGCATGTGTGTATGTTTTATATATTTGTATTATATGCATATGCATATTTTTAATTGCCATGTTTAAGAATCTGTATTTGGAGAATGAGAACCATGAGATTCCGGTAAACAAAGTTCAACAGGCCATCCTCCGAGACCTCTGGGTCTGAAGTCTGCCTTAATTTTAAGAGAAGTAAACAGAGGAGAGAACAGAACCCTGAGGAATACCAGCATTTGTGTAATGCACAGGGAAAAAGAGCTAGTAAACAAGAAGGAAATACTGGGTCACCGAAGTCAAAGGGCCCACAAATTTTAAAGTGCAGAGAATGGGCAGTAGGTACAGTGCTTCCAAGAGGAACAATCAGAACAAGGAAGTATCTGTGGACTGTAGCAACCTGGAGGTAGTCAATGGAGTGCGAAAGGCAAAAAAAAAAACTAGATTGAAACCAGTGAGAAAGTTGGTATCTGGCAGAAGTTTGGTCAATAATGTAGTAATAAGAAGAAAAAAGAGTAAATAGACTTACTTAAAATAAAAGTGACTCGAAAAGGTTCACAAGCCAAAGGCACAGCACAGTTAAAATGAAGATATTGAGGAAACATGAGTGAGAGCTGATTTAGCAGAATCCGGAAAAGAAAATGAGAATGGAGCATCGGATTTTCCCAAATAAAAGCATCCTTCCTCTAGGATGTTATGGGATGCAGGGAGGTTGACAGGGAAGGTGCCCACAGGAAGCCAAAGAGCCACTGAGAGAAATGGGGAGATGGGTCTGAGCAGGGAGCAGAGACAGACAAATAGACATTAGCATCCATTGGGACTCAGGCAAAGCAGAGGGGAGGCAGATTGGTAAAGCACCCCAGACTGAGGGTCTGCAGATACTGCACAAGTGACAGAAGAGGTGTGCATGAGATGAGCTGAGAAAACCACTTCGTTAGTGGGCAGGGAGTTTGGATATAACCGGAAAGGAAGACCGCTGGTGAAATCAAGGGGCTGGACATCTCAATAAAGTGAAAGATAAGAAACATTGGGAATGTTAGCCAGAGGTATTGATATATGGTATTGATATATTCAAAACTAAAACCATTCTGGGTGTTTCTATAACACTGAGTAAGGCAGTGGGTTGAATAAATTAAGACAACTATTGATAGAGTTGATGAAATAAAAAGAATGGGGAAAAAGAGTAGTGGAAGAGGAACACTGAAATGGCCAGAGGAAAGGCTGGAGTTTGAGTGGGGAGGAGAGTAAAAAAGAAAAGCAGCCCAGAGTGTTGGTGAACAGAGCGCTCGGGCATGGCAGAGGCATGTACTGTGAATATTAAAAGAAAAGGGGGGATTCTGCTGAATTTCCCTTTAAAAAGAAATGCTTCAGTGCAGTCAAGCGGGCCCTGTGTAGTTGCATGTAAACAGAGCTGGACCACATGAATCCTTATTATTGTAAAGGGTTTACCAGCCTGACGTCACCCTCACTGAAGTTCTGAATAGAGGACTCGTTTTTCTCTCTTCATTATACAAGAATTCCTCTGTTCTACACTGTTACAGTAGAAATAACCCAAGACCAGCAGTGAAGAGAGCTGGGTCCAATTATGTGACCTTGGGATGTCACTACCACTGCCCAGATACCCATGTCCCATCTGTATTCATCCATTCATCTATCAGTATGTGTAATTCACTAACATGGTGGACACAGTGCTAAATGCTCGGGAGGGAGTGGGAAGCAGGACACACCTAAAACCTCAAAGTAATGCTGTCCCCTGGTTCTCCCTAGTAACAACTCCAATTATCTTCACCAAGTGGATATGGTGCAAATGAGAGCTAAAACCTTCCCTGTAACCTACTCGACCCATGAGTCTTTGAGTTTCAATAAGAAATAGCTATGGAATAGGACCATATCTTCCACTTGAAACCGCTGCACACTGAGGGAATCTGTGAACTTACTAATAAAGATCTTTTGTACAGTTTCACAAACGCATATCTCTTTTTGGAAGTTATTATTATTGCACAAATTTTAAAAGTTGTTACGTTTACATCTTTAAGTTTAATACATCATGGCGCTGTTTCTCCTAGTTATGCACAGAAATGTCTCATTTCAAAACATGTCAGATACATCATATATGGTATTTATTTTTATTTATTTTTTGTTCTTTTTTCTGTATTTTATACATTATATAGTATGTATCATTAATCCATGATATGCCAGTGATGGTGCATCTTTTAGAGCTTTCCATAATACAAGCAGCCTGCAGTGAAATGCATGCCATAGGTCCACCATGACAGTTACAATTAGTAACTGTTATTATAATTTCCTGCTATTTTTTTTTTGCTACATTACATTTAACTTGAACTACAATGTCAAAATGAATACAACTGAGCAATTCAAAATAGATCCCTGTTCATACCTACCAATCAGCCAAGAAATTCTGCCTTCCTCTATCCTTTGCCTTCAAGAGAGGGGAATTTTTAAACCGTAGTCATACTTATTTATCAAGACTAATTATCACAAAGGCTATCAATTAGTACCAGTCTTGATTAGCATGAAACACCCTTCCATGCTGACTGCTTTTAAGTCCTGAGGTGCACAGTGTCCAGATATGGTCCAAAGAGCCCACGTGACAGACCTCAGCACTGGTGCCTCACAGCTAATAGGTTCTCCCTGATGCAGCCCATCTGTCATTTGCTAAGATTCATGGGAAGCGTCTCTGGGTCAGGGACTCATTCACTGACATAGCTGTAAGTGTTGGGATGCCCACTGGTGGTCTCTTATTACTTGGCAATTCTGCATGACCAACAATACAACTATAATAATTGTCTCCATAGCTAACTAAGGAATGGTTGAAATTGGACCCATTAGAGACCTCTGTCCCCCCCCCCCCAAAAAAGGACAGGAGCAAAAAAGTAAATATTTTTTGTTCCAGGTAGGATCATCAGGGCCAAAGGTAAAACAATCCTGGAAAAACTAGCTATGTGTTCTATTATCCTCCACACCCCATTTCTTATTTTACTTTTATATGTGTTAATGCCAGTTTGTCATTAATAAATACCTCATTACATATTTGTAATTAATACTCTCATTAGTAAATGAAGTCCCCTTAAGAACTGTGTCAGGCTGTATTTTTAAAACTCAGTGTTAGGTTGCTTACAGAACTCCATCTGATCTTTTTTCTCAAGGTGTTTATTCTCAATCTCAAGTCTGGCCATGTAGTAGAATGATGTGGGAAACTTTTTTCAGAAAAATGAAAGTGGGATCCTATCTCAGGGCAATTAAATTAGGCTAATGTGGGTGCAGGACAGGCATCAGGATGTCTCAAATGTCCCAGACACTGTATTGTGCAATTTGTGTTTTCAGAGCAGTTGTAAAGTCCACATTCTTCCAGACCACCTCGCCCTGTCCATGGGTCCTGGAGAACACGAAAACAAGAGGCAAACACGTTTCAAGGGCAGAGGCAACTTTTTGCAGTTCAGAATCTGTCTTCCTGGCTCGCACAATTCTGAGGAGGCCGCGTCCTTTGGAAGATATTATTAATGTTCTGGGGAGTTTACATTTCATTCTTCACAAAGGTACATCGTTCTTGCAAAGAAAGTAGTGTGCAAATTCATTCTGTGCTTCACTTTGCCCATGTGGAAGCAGCCCACGGAACTCACGTTCACAAAGAGGATGATTTGAAATATCCGTGCCTGTGCCTTCCTTCCTTGCCATTAAGTGTCATTCTGTTGCTTATTTTGAGTTGATTTCTCTGTGAGAATCACTTATGAGCCTTTTCCCAAGACTACACATACCCTCATCCCTTCTTTCAGAGCTCCCCAAGGTGAGAACTTCTAGAAGGGTTTTGTTTGTTTGTTTGTGATTTTGTTTTTACACAGCACTGATGCTAACCTCAGCCACTTTAGCATGTTGACTCACTGCCTGAACGTACTTATCAGTGTGGGAATTACAAAATGACTCCCTTTGGTTGGACTTCTGAGTCCAGTTAACCCAAACACACAAATCCCCTAGCACAGACAAACAGTAATTGCTTCCTGTCCTCTGGCCACTTGCAAATAAATGTTCTACAGGACCTGCCAGGCCACCTCCAGAGGAGCTGCCCAGCTAAGCAGCATGTCCCTCCGTAGAAGCTTCACCTTTACGATCTGCATTTTAGAAATAAGCGGCCTAATTTTAGAGCCCGCTCTTGGGTGAGTGATGGGTTACCTATTTGTCTCTGGTATTTTGTTGTGGGATTTGGTATTTCAAGAATTACTTCTTAACAGCAAAGCAGACAAAAATGTTAAGCCAAGCAGTGATACGGAGAGCCCGATGATTTAAACTTTAAAAAGAGATAAGAAAACACATACAGGGATCTTTGCAAGTTTTCTTGGAAATCCACTGCTGTTTCTGGAAATTTCTTTAAACAAGCCACTCAAATGTTAAGGCTGGGGTATTATTTTTAACACTTGGAAGTGTCAACAGTGTATGATAAGCCTGGATTTATGAGTTCCTAGTTTTCAAAAAGTTTAACATTAAGGAAAATAATCTCTTCTTCATTTTGTCTCAATGCCTAACGCTTAATTATTGACTATGCTGATCTTTCGCTGCCACCTTAAGCAAAGGTTAAATGCTGTGATTCGCCTCCTTGGCGTCCATACTGTGTCCCAGACAGTACCCAGGGGCTTGGGGTTGCATTTCTCCCATTGAAAAAGTGCCATGGTACAGATCCAATGGCTGTTCTTCCAGGAAAGATGCTTTTTATTCTGCTCTGGTCCTATGGAGGATTGCAAAACCCACATGCTATGGCTTACATATGGTTTCTATCCTGTATAGCAACGTGTCCCCCAGAGTGGCTATGTTAAGGTGATAGAAATTTTAAGAGGTGACGCTCGGTGCCAAATAATCAGGTTTCAGGGGACCTCACACTCATGAATAGAGAAATACAGTCTCTTTGGAGTAGGTCAAATCTGGTAGAAATGGATTGGTCCCTGACATACGTTTAAAAAGAAAAAGTGAGGCTCATCCTTCCCCAGCCTGTGACTTTCTTGGTCACATGCATAGTTCTTCTGAATGCAACCATTTCTGCTTCTCTTTTGGGATCAAATATGAAGCATCCCTGGGGAGCTTTCCATGCAGTCTGAACTTTGCAGCCACCAGAATCTTGGGCACAGTAAATCTTTTATACATTATCCAGCATTTTGCAATAGTAACCCAACAAAGCAGAGAACCACATTAAGGAGGTAAATCAACTGGAGAATAACTGCACCCTGAACATGTGTGTGGCACCTAGGATTGCTGGAATTTAAGGTCCCATGAGGCATGCTTCTTCCATCTAGAAGTCACAGGGTGACCCAGTACAGTATGAGGTGAGATGCTGACAGTGTGGAAATGTCCCTGACTTCAGTGGTCCAGCAAAGGTGAAACACTGGTCTACACAGTGTTCTGCCCAGATGACCATGGCTTGTCCCTTCTAGTCACCTGACTCTTGATTTACCCAAATTCTGTTTGGGATTCTGATGTCCATTTCAAGTCCACCTTTTCTGCCTCCCACGTGTAGTGAGAATTGCCTCTCAACCTGGGCTCTACTTTCCAAAGTGTTTATGGGGCTGCCTCTCCCAGGAGGGGACTCACAGAAGTGTCACTGGACCTGCACAGGCCCCGGCTCATTTTGTCATCTTTTCTTCCTACATTACCTGAGCAGTTTTATTCCCCGGAGAAAAGATTTTCATTTTCTGAGCATCTGGGCACAAAAGGAACTTTACTCGGAAGACAGTTACTGCAAGTTGCTTTAGCTCTCTCGTACTTTCTCTGACTCACTCTTAAATTATAAAAAAAATTTAAACACCGAATTCCTGGATTGTGGCTCCTACTGATCCAAAGCGAGGGGCTGTGGGGAAGGCTTCAATTGCTTTCAACTTTACACTCTCAGGGCCTGGCCACACTCAGCTGTCCCAGCGAAGCCCCCTGACTGGCCCCCAAACAGTTCCAAGTTCCACCTGCCCCACACGCTCCCACCGCCATGCCCTGGAGACTGGGATGGGGCTGCCTTGCTCCGAACACAGTGCTTTGCCCTTGATAGAGTCTGAGGTCAACATAGAGGGTTCAAAGATTTCCATCATGAAATGAGTCAAATAATTCACGTAATGAACAGCTAAAGAAATAAAATTTCCAAATGTTCTCTATAAACATGTATGTGATCTCGTCAAAGCATGCTCTGGAGCTAGGCTCCTTCAGCTCAAGCCATATAAACCTTGCAGGTTAGAGTAAGCACCTAGAACTCTCCGGACTTCAGTTTTCTCTACTGTAAAATGTTGATCATGTTCATTTTTCAGGGCCATATTACAAAGCAGCAGAAATTGAGTAACTTAAACAACAGACATTTATTGCATCACAGGCCAGGGGTGGCGAAATGATGGCATTCATGCTGCAGTGCACTGTTTGCATAATTGAAAGCTCTAGAGGGCTCACCATCATGCTCCAGGAACTAGAAGTCCTAAATCAAGGCATGGTCAGCGCAATGGTGTCTGAATCTGTGTTGAGGATCCTTCCTAGTTTCTGGCACGGGCCAGCAAAGCTTGGCAATTCTTGTCAATCTTTGCCTCTGTCACTACTTGGCCATCTTTAAATTATTTTCCCTCTTTATAAGAACACTAGTCATACTGGATTAAGGCCCACTGTAATGATTTCATTTTAAGTTGATACCTGGGTAAAACCTTACTCCCAAATAAGATCATATTCTGAGGTATTGGGGCTTTGGACTTCAATATATCTTTTTGAGAGAGTACATAATTCAGCCCATAACCATGATGATCCCATCTATCTTGTAAGGTTTTTTGGAAACATTACATTGTGATGTGTGTAAAGTGGTCAGAATATCTGTTCCTGGCACATGAAAGGAACTCCATAAATGCCTGGTATTTTTATACCAGTCCCTTTGCTGTACCTTTTACTTTGATACCCTTTCTTGTTTTGGAGAAGGAGGCTAGAATTAGAGCCTTCAGCAGTCACAGTGCACCAACCACACAGAGCCCCCATCACCTGTGGACCACTGGGGACTTCTAACTCTCTAGGTTTTAGTTTGTTGTATAAAGAGAAGTTTGCCCAGGAGAATAGGTCCATAGGGAGACATCATCTTATATTTCTCAGGGCAGACTGGAAATGTTAAAAACCACCGTGGGAGGAAGATGAGCATATCTGCTAACCCGGGATGCCTGGGTTTACTATGCTGGCAAATTCCAGGACTTCCCCGAATCTGCTTCTCACCTGTGAAACAGATGGAGTAGCATGATCTGGCCTGAGGGATAACTGAGATAACAGTACGCTCAGCACGGTGTCTCGCAAATGTTACTTTCCCCGTGCAGGTAGCTGTGTTTATCTCTTCTCTTATTCACCCAGAGCCAAGTATGTGCATGGTTCAAAAAAAAAAAAAAAAAAAAAAAAAAAACCAAGGTGCACATTGAAAAGTTTGTTTTTCCCACTCATAACTCTCCATGAGATCTGTGTTATCTTATGTAAATCAGGACATGTCCCCTCCCACCCCAGTCTACATTTAATTAAAGCAGTCCTATGTTATCTGATTCTTCTCCTTGCCTTATAAAAGCATCATATTATACTTATTGTCATGCATTTTGCTTTTTCTGACATAATATATCCCCAGAAACCTTTCTAAATTACTGTAAAGACACTTCCTCATTCTCCTCACAGATGATTAGTTTTCTACTGTGTGTACAAACAGCTGAGGTAGTGCGTCTCTTATTGAAAGGCATTTGGGTAGCTTCCAGTCTTTTGTACTGGAAACAGAGCTGCAGTGGGTACCTTATTTATACATCATCCTGCACCTGCGTATATAAATTATATCACTTCTCACTTCCCAGAAGTGATACAGCTGGGTCAGGAGGTAATCACCTTTGTGACTGTGCCAAAATGACCCTGGGGTCCTATGGTGCTTGTATCATTTTGCATTTGCACCAGTAGCGTATGTGAGGACTTGTTTCCCCCTGGCTTTGCCAGCAGGAGCAAGGGGCTGACTAGTTTGGTGTTTGTCAGTCATGCAGGTGAAAAATGGTATATTGGCAAAATTTTAAATCATCTTTTTCCTATTGCGTCACTTGTACATTTTTTAAAAATACATTTAAAGTCTATATATATGTTTTTTTTGATAAAGTGTCGTTCAGGCATGTTAGACCAGGACTCAGAAGGCTGGAAAATGGCGGGGATTGTGGGCTCTGAAAAGAAACTGCTTGAATTCTGCCCTTGCTACCATATAATCTGGGGAAAATTTCTCCCTGTGTCTCTGGTTCAGTTCCTTACCTTCGAAGTATGATGGCAAGAAATATGGGGCTGATATAAGAATGAAGTAGATAATAACATACAGATTTAAGTTTCTGACACAAACTAAGTACTCATGCATGTTAGCAGTTATTAGTCAATTTATTTTAGTCAAATTTATCTTAACAATCTGGAAAAAATACTCAAATATATATGCATAGAAAAGATGGACCTAAAGGAAAATGAAGTTATCCAAAATGTCAATTTGTCCCCTCAGCATGGTTATATTTTCCTCAGTTTTTCACTTCCATATTCAATAGTTAGAAGCTATTTATTTATCAGATTCTGTTGGCCAAAGATGGTTATTTATTTATTGGTCTGTATGCTATAGGGTATATTTATCAAGTTTGTAACAGGGGCCAGATGTTGTAGTGGGAACTGCCAGATAATACTGAACATATTACCACAGGCCTGCTCCTAGTGAGCTTCCAATCTAGTGAGGGGCATGAGAAAGAAAATGGCCGCTGCACCTCAGCCAAGTTCTCTGAGTGAAGCCCATGGAGCTAAGGGAGCCACGTGCCCAGGAAGCTTGAGATGCCACCTGTGTACTGTCTTCATCTGCTCTGCCTTAATTCAAATTTTGCCCTCTTTGCCACTTCTTTTTTGTCTCTTCTGAATTTCCTTTTGTATCTGACTCTTATCATCCTCATACAGATATGTCGTAACATTTCATAAACAGAAAAATCTTTGGAAAGCATAAGTCTTTGTTTTATTCCTGCTCTCTAAGGATTCCCAACAAGTTCACAATCAAATCTAAACTCCTCCTCCTGGGCTCTGAGATAGAGCTTCCTCCTGTCTCCTTCTCTAGGTGTGCTTGCTCTCCAGGCTCACTCAGTTCTAACATCATACTGTGCCACCCATATGCTACCTCTTGGCCTTT